GAGAGAGAGAGGGAGAGGGGGGATAGAAAGGGAGGGAGAGAGAGAGAGAGAGAGAGAGAAAGAGAGAGAGAGAGATAAGGGTCATAATAATGTTATTGTTCGGAGAAGTTCATTTTATCTAGTATTTACGTTTTTCTGTCTTGCTGCTTTATCGTTCTCAGCCCGCGCTGACCCTGGAAGGCAGGGTCAATCAGCCCTCATCCTACATCATCTGTTTTGTAACGAATTCATATCAACGTGTTTCCATTTGTTTCTTTATTTGCTAGGTTTAATTTTCCAAGGTTTCAGCTTTTGAAAATACCTTATCTTGAAAGCGAGGGAACCATTTTAAAAAACAACAAAACTTTTCACTCACTTTCCCCGTCCAGAGAAAAAGTTTTTTTATCAAAGCTGTTTCGAAACGTGGCCAATAAGATATTATCATGGTCTTAAAAGATCCCATTAGGTGACCACTTACTGGATTGTGAAATAATTCAGCAGTCGACGCAGCAAAAGAGAATCTCCAACGAGAACAAAGAGTAACAAGGGGAAACCTGAGGGAGATAGAGGATGGGGGGGGGGGGCAACATTGTGGCTACAGAACAAAGCCGTAATTGTTTTCCGCGTCATCAAGAGCAGAAAGCCCACGGGAAAAAACTGAAGTGTCATTATATAGCAACAACCTACCTCAAAATCCGAAGGATGCAAAGTCGCTGACCCCCTTAAAAGCGTTGAACACTTTGAAGAATGGCATATCATTGTGTCCCTGGGGGATTACGTTTAATAGCTTTGTTTTTGTAACGTTTCAAAGTAGGTTTTTGTGAGTTTAAAAACAAACAAACAAAGGAACAAACAAATAGTCTACGTCATTTGACAAAAGCCTAGTATAGCTTGTTCTCTCTCGTCTGTCCGCGAAAAAAAATTCTAGCTCATTTATAAATTTACCTATGCCGACCAAACTTTGCATGGCACTTCTGCAGACCAGAGACCAAACAAAAATATATTTTCAAAAAACCTTGACCCCGTAATGAAAAAGTATTTTCTCTTGGGGTATTAAAAACCCCTCTTTGGACGCCTAATTATGATCACTAAAATAAATGACTTATTTTAACCTAGCCTACATGTGTTGTGTTGGGAAAAATAGGTCAATTTGTTAATGTTTTAGATTTACTCACTTTAGGCTTACATCAAAGAAAGTGTGTTGGAACATTAATTTGCAGTGGACTTTATAATTGGGCTTTTTTTAAAGATTCTGTTGATCATCCAACTTTTAGACCCGTACCGGTACGCAAAGATCTGAGAAGATTAAACAGAGCGGTTTAATTTGATCTCCTTTTAACTGCAGTCAGACGAAAGTGAACAATCTATAGTACTACGTGTATGTGGCTGATTGTATTTGATCTTTTGGTTGGGAAATGTTTTACGGTGGACATCAATACAAGTAGGTCATTCCAGTGACGGCATAGTTTTGACGATGCTTGATAGAAGACCAATCTATGCTGAGTGGGACACAGCATCCCAGCTCTGTCGTCTTTTTGACAGAAACATGTAAATGCCAAAAAAGAAATTTTACAAGAGAGCAAAAAAAAATGTGTGTTTTTCAACTTGACTAAAATTTGATCGATCTGATTATTTTATATCAACAAATTCATTAGCCGGTGTAACTATTGTCTAATTTGCTGAGGTATACAGTAAATAGCTATAGAGTAACTGATTAAAATGTCTTCTGTCAAAACAATATCGATATGTAATTAGATCACAAGGCATATTTTCAAAAACTAAAAACTTCCTGAACTTTAATTGTACAGCCATAAAACCAAGACAAACAGACCAGCCACAAAAATAAGTTTCTCTCTTGTATTATATGGTCGCTTTTAAGGACAAGTGGGCTAACCCAGTTTTTGGGGGTTCCCGAAATCTTGGCCTACAGTAAAAGTGGGCATTCCCCTTCCTAGAGGAGTATTTAGGTTGCATTGGTGTGTATATTTGTTTGGCTATAGAGAAAACTCCCCTCGTATTTTAAAGAAACTGAACAAAGGTCCAAAAACTTTACCTTCGATTTTCTCAAAACAGCATTTTTCGGGTTAGCCCCATTGTGCTAAAAAACGACCATATAAACGCTACTTGACCTAATTTTGTAATAAGGCGACAGAGCACGAAGACGAAGATACTCGATAGATCAGACTTCCACACTCAGAAATAAAAATCACGCCTTCTGCACGCAATAGCAAGGGAATGAAACATCGCATCACACACACTGTCTATCTACATTCATTTGGGTGGATTAAAAAATAAAAGTTTTGAAATATTACATCCCTGTTTTCAAATCATTTGCAATGTATTACAATGCGATGCATTTTTAAAGATGAACAGTAGCATAGGCAGGTTGTTCGAGGGCACCACTAGAAGGTACTACCTCGTTTCTTTCTTTTTTTTTTGTCTATCTGTCTTGCTTCCTTCCCGCACTACATAGCCATTGTTGAGTACACTATCCTCTTTACTGGAACTCAAACTCAGAGCGTTATTATCTCTTTTCTACTAAAAGTGTAAAGCCCAAAATAATTCAGTCAGTTGGAGCTTCATAATATAATACGTGAAAACCATCCCTATATAACCATCCTACTTCGTGAGTAACAGAAGAATGTAATAAGCACTCGGTAGGCTATCTAGCTGAACATTATTACGACGGAGGCTCACAAAGAAACTGTACACAGAAACACTTAGAATTAAAATCGTAGTCATAGACAACAAAGGATGGTAAACAGACTGCAATGTTCCAACATGACAATGTAATCGGACTTGTAAATGTGAGATTGTGGGTTCAGGGGCTCTAGGCTCAGCTCGGCCCTACGTTGTGTCCTAGGAAAAGACACATTTCACGACTTTTCCCATTTGGCTCCATCCTGTCAAAGATTGACTTTAACTTCGAAGGTCCCGCTTCTTAAATAACCTTACATTGCTGCAAGGGGCGTTATTTCTACCGTTTCGGACAGTTTTTCTCTACCTTCCCTGTGAAGGGTAGTGTAACACTAAACACAATATTCGGTCCTGTAACAGCAGAAGTTTCAGTACAGGACTTATTCGATGAGAATACTAGCACATTACATGTATTGTAATAAGAAAACTAGTTTTTTGTTTAATAAACTATCAGTCTGCTAAAATTATAAGATATACATTAGGGGGGGGGGGAGAAAATCAGACAAAATGGCGAACAGTTCAAGCAAGACCTTTTTAACTTGGCTATATTTCTAAGGATGGCCAAATCAGAGAGAAAAAAACCAAATCCGAATAAAAAAAGATTCGTTGATTGCAAAAGTGGTTTGGGGGAGGAGGGTAGATTTGCTAGATCGCTGCTTTCGTGGTAGAAGCATCCCGGGGCGCCTAATAATAAATTATAGCATTTAGTATGATTCAAATTCCCATTCAACAGCAAGCTCTATGAGCTTTACATACCAAGCATTTCTTATACCGGAAAGCATACAGTGCAAGCAGCCATTTTACAGGCGCTAAAACACTGACGTACTGACGAGATCTTTCGTCGTCTATGGATCTGTACCCAATCGCACCTTGGTGAAGTGAAGAACATTTGTCGTCAAGTGCCTTTCCCGAGGACAGTCGTGCCTGGACCTCAAACCCCCAAACCCGCAACCTCACGATTACAAGCCCGGCAGCTTATCCACTAAAGTATCGGCATTTTCAAAGAAGATAGGCACATCTGTGACAAGATCATATTGTCCTGAACTTTAAAATATTTTAAAGTGATCGAAGAAGAAAGAAAAAGGAGAAGATACTTTAACAAATTGCAATACAAACAACGAACAATGACGTCATACTGCTCGCTGAGAGCCTCCTTGCATTTATTTGCTCTTTATTCATTTTTGGGAGGAAACAGTTTTGAAGTGCCCGGAAGAAGAAATTGTGGGGGTTTTGATTGGGGGAGGGGGAGGGGAGATCAACCGTCTTTACAATAATTAAATAAAGCCACAAGATAATGCACTTAGTAAATATGTTAAAAGGAAGCTCTCTGTGTCTTCATTTTTGCATCTAAAGTGTGCTGAAAGAGCCCTCTTTGAAGACCCTTTTAACTTATAAAGCACATGGTTTTTAAAGTTCCTGATGATCAGACAATAAAGAAATGGAATAAAGTTCAACATTTTTTATAGACGTTGAACAGCTGTAAAGCTTGTAAGATTTTGAGTTAGCCGTTCTCTAGAGTAAACACTATCAATATAATTCATAATGTCGCACTTAGGTATAACACACACACACACACACACACACACACAAACACACACGCACACACACACAAAGCCCACAAACACACACACACACACACACATATATATATATATATATATGTACATATATATATATATATATATATATATATATATATATATATATATATATATATATATGTGTGTGTGTGTGTGTGTGTGTGTGTATGTATATATATATATATATATATATATATATATATATGTGTGTGTATATATATATATATATATGTAATATATATATATATATATATATATTATGTGTTTGTGTGTGTGTGTGTGTGTGTGTGTGTGTGTGTGTGTGTGTGTGTGTGTGTGTGTGTGTGTGTGTGTGTGTGTGTGTGTGTGTGTGTGTGCTTGAGCGCGTGTGCGCCCGCGCGAGTCCGTGCGTAGGTAAAAAAGGTAACCACTATCGGTCACATGTGGTGTATATTGGTCACACACTGCAACATTTCAAGTCCATCATAGATGCAAACCAACGGCTCAGTGCCTAAGAAATCCTTTCATATTAGTGCCTGTTATTATCTCTTAGAACGTAAATGTAGACTACTTTTCAACAAAATCACATGGAAGTACAGAGATGCCAATCGAGGGTATCTTCTAGTTCGACGTGAGTTTAATGCCCTTTCAACCCTCACATTTGAAGTGAATTGAGGGACCTCTAATTCAAAGTATACACATTTTCTAAATGTATTTGGGAAATCTTGCAAGAACCTCAAAAGTGAAGAAATCTGAGACTCGACGTAGGTTTGGGAATGCCTCTTTAAGGATTTAATTCTGAGCCTTTCATACCGCAGTTCAATGTAATATCAACTGGGTAAAGTGGGGCGAGGTTGGGGAGGGGACAAATTTAGATGACATGGGTCAACTGTAAAACAAACAGTAACATATTTCTGCATACTCACACAAAGATTCCCCCACGGCTATACCTTTCTGGGAAGGGGGCTTATCGGAACGCTAAGAGCAAAGTATACCCCCCACCCACCCACACTCACCAATATTTTCGAGACGAATCACAATGATCGCAGCCCACAGCTATCTGTTCCTTCTAAGACATTGATACAACCCCATAAATGACTCCTACGGTGACTCCAGAATGCTGCATTCAAGTTCAAGTAGGTTGAAAGAGGATCTACCAAATAGAACACTTAGTAGGTTGTTGGTGGGTGTTCTGGTGTCGTTTGCTCCTTCATTCCCATCAAACATCTAGCCTATCGTCCTTATCTCTCCTCCTCCTTTTTGTTTTTGTTAAATTCTTGTACCACATTAAAAATTTCGACACTTATATGACCCAAATTGCTTCGAAAGAGCCATAAAACGGCTACTACAACAAGTGTACACTTGCAAATTGCTTAAAAGCACGGCACTTCATCCACCTGTCCCTTTATTCTTCCTAGCCAGAGAAACTGTTTACCAGACCCAGTTCATATTGTTTTCCTCATCCTTCTCATTTAGGGTTTATCGAAAGACATTAGTTTCGTGCACGATAAATAATAAAGATATATTATTTCTGGTTCAATTTCAACAGTCAGAAACACGAAATTATATTCCTTTATTTTGTTAAAAACGATATTTACAGAGAAATGAGCGGTAAAAAAAAAAGCAATAACAACAGTTCATAATGGGTGATAAAGGACACGACAAAGGTAGTCACATGACCATAATCTATTGCACTCCTAGACAGTGTACGGTTATGGCCGCCGCTCTTTGCTCTTTATTATAAAAAAAATAATAATCAGTGCGAAGCATGCGCACCATGGGCAACGTTATTTACGCCCGTATTAAAGGCGAAAGTGTTTTGTTTCTAGTTCTAAGGAAAAATCCATCTTTTACAATAACTGTGGCTACTAGTATGCCCCGCAACATTATAACACCAGTTTAGCTACAGTAAAATGCGTGCAGCAGCTTTCTCCTTTGGCTCTAATGGAGCGTCCCATTGTGAACCGATAATACGTTATTAGTGCATGGTCTGTGATAATGTAATATAAGTCTATGGGTAATAAATGCCTTACACTAGTGAATGCCCAGTGAATGTAATCACTTCACCAATTTATCAATTAAATATTCGTGTGTCTTGATAAACATAATGAGCACTATGTACAGAACAAGAAGTAACTGGCAACATTAAAGTTTGTGAATAAGATACAACAATGTTCTTGGCTTTCAGTCAACCTACTGCTATCGTTATATACACCGAAAGGGAGAGAATGAGTCCTAGCACAAGGAATACACAGAGGAAGATCCGGTCTAGTAAAACGGCAAACAGCCGCCACTCCGAAACCTGCATGTCCTTAAACTCCTTCGAGAGCTTGCTGCTGGTCAGAATCTCTAGTTGTCCCAAAACTTTCAGCGACAACTGGACAAAATTTGACGTGGACACTTCTGGGGAGGGATAACGGCTAGAGTAGTGGAGGCCAGAGCTTGTGCTGCGAGGGGAGGCCAGCGGGTCGTTTTGGCCGGGGTCAGGGGTTACGTGGTGGGATCTGTAGCCGTCACCGTGAGATGACGTCATGACACCGTTGCTGATCGTGCTGCAGGACATCGGTACGTTACTGAACACTGTCTCCGCCTCCTCGTCCTTGGCCCTACTCGTAGTGCTCGAGGAGTGTGGAGTTCTCCGTCGCTGGAAACAAATTACAAATTAAAAATTAGTTCAAACTAGATCTAGTACTTTGAATTTTTTGTTAAAATTTCAATAAACAGAAAACACATCAACAAAATAATAGTCATAAAGTGCGGGAAAAGGCGAAAGGCAAATAGACTGATATAACAGAAGGAAAGAAACGATGTTAGTAGGAACTACCAGTGGCGCCTCATCTACAGGCTAGTACCGCACAACGACAAAACAGTTGGCTAATCGAACTGTCAGTGAGTTGTGGACAATAAAAGTAAGAGAGGCCCACCACGCCAATATGACATAATTATCTAGTCGTGGTTCTCTTATTTCATAAGGAAGAAGATGTTACGTGATAATTTGAAGAATTTGAATTAAGGATGATAACAACAGTGGGAATGGGACGACTAGAGCTTGAGAAGTAAAAAAAAGGAGGTGAATGAAGACAAAGATAAAGCCAACGACAACTGTGCAGATATGGTGGGGCGGTGTGTAGGAAGAGGAGAACAAAGAGGACACAGACAGGAGAGTGTTAAATAAAGGGGAACAACAGGGATAGGGGTTAAATTAGAAGTTAATTAGGTGCACAATAAAGGTTACATCATTTTGAAATAAAATTATGTATTACAAGTATAGCAACATCATCCCCTAAGGCGATAAGATCAACAAAACCCTACTACCACAGAGCTCTGGAATATCAAGCACAGGGTGCCAAAATGGTGGAAGTAGAGCTATGGAAAACAGCTAGCGTTTCTTTGACAGGACTGCACATATTTCAGTTTTATTTTAGACCTTCGACAGGACTGCACACAAACAGTATTGTGTGCTACGACTATTGTTGTTGGTCCAAATACCTTTCTTCACGCCTCTGAGGAACACTGGCTTTTCATCACCCTATTGGGAAAGAGCCTTTTTTCAAAACAGTTGAATAAAAGAGTGGCTTTTTAGTGTGCACGAGAGCACAGGAGAATCATTAATTAGTTCAAAAGACTGAGAACAATAACAGGTTGCTTTTATTTGTTAGCAGGTGTTGGTCGCTCGTTTCTGCCATAAAAGAGTGGGGAACAAGAAACTCGCTATAAAAAGCTGCTCTGGTAAATCTGACTTAATAACCGTCTTTTGTTGATTATCTGTGTGGACTTGGCATCGGGGTCCACTGATGTAATAGGTAAAACCTCATTATTGAAAGATGCTATAGGTGTTTGCGCTGTGCACTGTAAAATAGAACTCTTCGACTTCTTTTGTTTCTGAATGGGTCATTGGTGTAATCACTTTTTAAAAAGTGACGTAAGCTTCCTTTCAATTGAATCTGAAGGTCATGATACATCTTCAAATATATCTGAGTAGGTAAGCGACTAAAGATCTTTCTACAAGCAACTCTCTTTCAGAATAGAATATATTAACTTCTTTATGTGTACTGATATGATCCTTTATGCTAACGTATTCTCAGTAACTATACTTCGTATTCCTTTTCTTTTTCGTCTGTCTGTAATTAGTACTATCCTCGAGTCTAGACCTACATTCTGTGTACCCTTTTAAACTGTTTTCTTTCGTCTGATTGTCATCATCGATCCTGTAAGTTTAGAAGGTCAGTTTTCAATGACAGAAATTCCATGATTAGTTAACCTTTAGGTAAATGTCAGGCGTTTGATAAAAGAATCGTGCTGTGATTTCTCAATACCTTGACTCCTAGTTCTAAACTTCACAAAAGTGATGTGTTTCGTCTCTGGGCTACGAAAATTTCCTTTATAAGCTAAGTGAAACCAACATCCTATCATAAAAAGAATGTTATCAAATTTAGAACCAGCGTATCAAAATGTTAAAATTGACTCTTCTGTGGCTCTTTTTCTAGCTGGATTTAGATGATTAAATAAAATTAAAAAAGAAAACGTATCTTTACCATCATTGCACCGTGTAGTATTTTCTTATCACAAAGAGAACTGACTAACTCAAACTGTCTGTTATAGCTGATCGTGTACTAGACCCCTAAGAGCTTAGCCAGTCTGCCTTAATATTATTATGTACTCGTGTTCTTCCGTTCTTCCTTTTATCCCCGTTTCATAATTCCATTTCTGTCCTTGGCGAGTGACACCGGGAGAGGGATTATCAGTCCGGTTCATGACCTGACCATTCCGCAGAGGCCCCTTGATGGCACAGCATACCGGACATACAATCCGCCATTAACTGCTCAGAAGAAAGTGATGCTACAATAATTATATGATTGGGGGTG